TTCTACAGTTAGTCATTCGATGCGATATACTGCTATAAGAAAATATGTTCTGTAAAAATCTGGACCGTGAAATTGTAGAACACGTAATGTGAGCCCAAATATTCTTGATCACACGTGCAAACTACATTACGTCACGAAAAACTTTTGACGCAGAAATTGGTCTTTTATCTGTGGCTTCAGTAAACACACGCAGTGCCACTATCTATTCAAATTCCAAAACCCCTCCAAAACTCAGGTTGGTAACTGCAAATTTTGAGATCAGGAAAAGGGCTGTAATTGAAGATGCTTCTTCACACTCAACCAATGATAGTGCACATTGCAAAATAACATCACAAGTAGCCAATTCTATTGGGTACCAGTTTTTAAGGGGCAGCAATTGGAGAACTGATGCGAAATCTTCTTTATATCCTCTAGTCCATATGTTTGCATAACCACCCTGCACGAAGGGGTACACAGCTAACAAATCACCCAATGGACCGAATATAAATCAAATTCTCGTATCTGTCTGAATTGGTTACGACACTGTAGGTGATTGGAGACGAACGTGGTTACTAGGTGGTAAAATGCTTTAAATTCATTCTGGTTTTCAATAAATTCAGTGGTAACTCTGAACAGTGATTTATGGAAAAAATGCAAGCTTTTATAAGGAAACTGAAGTTAGTCAACGATTTTTTTGGGTATTTTTAACACTTCCTACCTCCGATTCGTTGTTTTTTTGGATTTTATTAGAATGGCTTTCCAGTGTATACATTTAAATGTTATTGGTAAAAGAATTTAGTGTGAATAAAGATCAGTTGAAAAGCCGACAGTAATTCATTTTAGTAATCTAACTTTAGTCACACAGAGAGCATATTTCGGTCACTCAACCTTTAATGAACTCTGTTCTAGTTCCTTTAACTTAAGAGACATTAAATTTGATTAATGAGAGCATCCCGATTGTCACCTAACAGTCAGTGATTGTCATTAATCACATGTGCTAGTTATCTTATTGCCAAAAATTGGAATGCCATTGAATTGCAGGCAGCAAGATAAATATTTGTGCCTTAAAACATAGTCTGCTACTCAAAACTGGGATGACTAATCCTATGCCTGATTGTTCACTTTAGCGATCTTTTACACGATCTTACTTTCAAGACCTTTTAAAATAATTAAATAAAGAACTATTTAAGTAGGATGGCGCGTAAAATATTCGGTCGTGTCTACGAGTGCCATCTTTATCCGCTGTTTTGACTTTGATTCCTACTGAGAGCTTACTCAAATAAATAAAGGACAGTCTTCATGTCCGTCATCCCCACAATCATGTTTGAGCTTTGCGAAAACTGTAATTTTGGAAGTGAAACTGTCATCCTTGCCCTCATCTTTAAGGCTTACATGGCCAACACCTGGTGAGCTTCTACTGGAGTGTGACTCGGGAAGCCCTCGACAGCTTTTCAATTTTGTCGACCTTGGCCACCTTAATGTTTTATTATATTATTCTATGCGTGCCAGAAACTGACAAATCCTCTACTAAAGATAACGCTATATCTAAATATATGAGTAAGTGTTATGTAAAAACGTATTGCTCACATCCGGGTTCTGACTAAGCAGGTCAATCGCAATTGTAAATTGTTGATGTTTTGTTCTTTCGTTGACAAATTTGTCACCCATGGTTCCAGCCTTCGAACTATGTTCATGAAACACAGATGGTGACAACCGAACTTATAATCGCATTACATATGCCTGCATAAAGTCTTCGTGTTCTGACATTCATTTTGTGGCGTCTTTGAACTGTTAACGAATTGGAACGGAATTCATACATAAAAATCAAAATTGCAGCCCTTAAAATTAGTGAATAATTTCCTTGCAACTTATTTAGTAGCTACATCTTGTCGACTGACCATAAATTTCTGCACATTATCCGTGACTTTTTCATCGAAACAGAAAAAAAATATTCCAGGATCCTCAATACTTTGCTTCCTAAGTCCAAGCCCCACACGTAAAATTAGGTCAAATAGGGTAGTCTAAAAATGCGACCAGAATAAGTCATCAATCCAACATTATTATTATTATTGTTCTATTTTTTACTTTTTGATCTTAGAAGCAGAAAATGAAAAAAATGATGAGACTATTAGGTAATTAAAAAAATAGCCCATCTGCTGGAAATAAAGCTTAATATAAAAAGAAAATTCCTTGTAGTTCCCTGGAAAAAATGCTGAAGCATGACTAATGTAAAAATTATTTCCATTTAAAACAGGTCCTTAAAAGTGTGTTCATAAAAGTTTACTTGACAAAAATTGTCTCAACCACAGATTCTACATGGTGTGATTTTTCAATAGATGTCATCTTCCTCTTAACCTTATTGGTTCCGAAGACACTGGGAGTATTCACGAATAATTGGTAGTTTTAGGCCGAGTACCGGATTTATCATGGACTAGATAATAGTGAGCTGTACAGTTAATCATAACTTGATATTATAAATATCTTTTGCTTTCAGTTAATAACCAAAATTGCCATTATTTCTAAATATAGACATGTTCAAGGTAATATATTTTACTCGGCCTGATAAAGTTGTCACGAATCAACCTCAGGAGGTTGTTATCATAACACTCGTATCTTTATTTTTAAAAAATTCCAAAGCAACAAATGGCAAGCGGGAACTTATTTGTATCAGATTTAAAAGAATAAGGGCCTTTATGGAATAACCGAGTTCAGGCTGTTACTGGTTGTGAAAACGGCGCATTAGCATATAATGTACCAAAACGTTTAATAGGCCATCTCTGTTAATTTTGAGGCTTTGTGTGAAAAAAAAAACTACTCTTTAAGAAGCATTGCTTTTAATGGGGCATTGCCTTAGTGTATAAAGGCTATACATCATGTCTTAACATTTAGTGATTTAGCACTTTTTGACACCAGAAGATTGATGTGAGAATAGAGACATTGGTGGCTGGTTACCATGGTTACCGTTGGAAAAAAAACTATATCTAATTTTCCGTGCTTCGTTAATTTACTGAAGAAAAAATCTAAACCTATTTTCTTGGTAAAAAACAGGTATAATGACTTATCAGACCATACACTTCTAGTCATTTATGGAACAACCAAAACAACCTCAATAGCCAATTCTTACTTATGTAAAGTTGTCATATTTTGCAAAAAAAATGTTTTTTGGATTATGTTATCGCCAATTATTGTTGTATCTCTCTGAGCTAATTTTTAACGAACATCGACCTAAAAGCCAATCAGGGGTGTGAAACGTCGGCGGAAATCCGAATTCGTGTAAATTATTACCCAAAAGGGTGTTAGGGATATATGTGTGTTTAGGACATGTCTTGCCTTTCACAGAATCTGTTCTTGACCACATAAATGCCTTTTTAATAATTTTTGTTCAGATTCAAGTGTGGGATTCGCCAGTTGCATCAATAAACTGAAATGAAGAAGGCCAGCATCTTGTAATCATCATTCCGCGTCTTTGCCACAGAAACCGTCACAACGGAACCCCAGTAATCCTGGCCACTTAGGCAGAACCGCCCACACCACATATTTTCAATCCGGAACAAATTTTCATGATACAGCATCATATCGTTGTTATGCTAGGGCTACCTGTTTTATCCTTGCTTAATATCTTGTGTGGCAGCCCCCTTGATAACACCATTTTCATGGCATTACGTCTTTATTCAAGTACGCAGCCAAAGATGTTTGATTGCGAGCACTTTCGCATGTCTGGCTTTCCCTTTGGAAGGCTTGTAGTATAAAACACCGACAACGGTCAGCCGAGACTATATAGGTCTGTTACAACACATGAAATTGTTGACCTCGTTCACCTAGATTACACTATCGGTAGTGAAAATGAGGTCCTTTGGTCACCCTTACGAACGCCCTACCCATATTCGCAAAGCATTACAGAATATAATTCAGTCTCATCCCAACTCCACGCCAATCGGCATTGGCCAGACATACTGTTACGAGTATCGGGAAGAAGTATGTTAATACCTTGTATTGTCTCTTGTGTGCGCTCGGGTAAAACTTACAAAATTGAGTAAATGTGCTCGGTTCAGTTGTCACTAAACACTGCTACTGCTTGTTTTCTGAAGACTGGGAGATGTGAAACAGTGGTGGGAGTAACGATAAGAATGACAAACATTTACAAACATAGCTGTCGCGAATACGTCGCAGCTTTTAAGAGCACAGACGAATAATACAATAACGCGGATGGAGTTTTAGAAAAAGGTCAGGGACGTTGGGCCTTGAAGTAGTTGCGACATCGAAAACATTCTCGGGTAGACCACTGTCTAGGTCGTTGCCGATGTGACAACTGTATTGCCATTTACAATGGCTACCTAAAGAAAAAAGAGGACAGATTATGCGGAAGATTGTTTGTATTTTCGTGTGTTCATCGCGGTCCTCTGTTCTATGTTGGTACGAATTGCGCTTGTGCTGGAGCACCGAATTGACCGACAAAAATCTTCCCTCATAACAATTAAAATGTTATGTTTGGATATAAAGTATTTCCAGGGACTATAGTGTAGGCACCTCTTGACTGTTGTTGCTTAGACAAAGTACTACTCTCCATTTATAAGGTAATGGACGATTTACTACATTTCGGATTGCTCCTATGGAAAACCTCAATTCACTGCGAATGAAAAAACATTAATCAGTGCCAATTGCGCTTAATATACCGCAACTGGCGCTCTGAATGCCTGTGCGTCATAGCAACAAAAGCCGTGTGACCATGTGACAAATACGGAAATGATTATTCTTAATTAAAAGATAACCCATAGAACGATGTTGACCAAACAACTTATCAGAAATTGTTGTTAAACAACGCATGGATATGAAGTGTCCTCACGGACTGATTGAATCTCCTGCCGCCTAATAATTCCAGTGAAGCAAAATGGTTTTGTAAACTTTTCAAGTGGTAATATTGCTAACACTGAGGTTTCGGCACAGCTGGTCTAATCTGTTTTATTGGAATCGTGTCCGAGTAGGTCACAAAGTAACACCTTGAGGAAACATGGTTTGCAGTTCTAAGTCAGGACCTTGTAGTCTACGTCGTCGGACTTCAAGTCCTGAATTTGCCAGCAAAATCTAACACCTTACTGAGCACGGAAGTGCGATGAGTTGAAAGTACGAAACAACGCCTTACCTGGCCAGTGAAAGGGACAAGAAACGTTTGACCGGTGGCCGTGGAGGCCATGGTGAGGTGGGTTGGGGCGGCGGTTCCAGGTTTCAACTCTCCGCCTTCAATTGTCGCCGTTACGACCTGCTTAACTTCCGTACCTGGCGCCTGCATCTCGATTGTCGTACCAGTCTGCACGGCGGAAGCACCATTCAAAGTCACTTGTCGCTGAGCCATTGCAGCCGGAGAATTAAGAAGATTTGGTGGTGCAGCAACAATTACCGTGTTGGTGTGGTGTGGGTGCTGTTGTTGAAGAGTAGCTGCTAATTCGGCTGACGAATTTATAATGGTGGAGTCAATCTTGATAGCCTGGTTTCAAAAATTTAAAATAATGTCGTCAAATTGACAAATGATAGTGTAATGTCCTCAGAAACATTTCGGAGGGGGGTATTTTGGTACATGTAAACCAAATAAACAATTGAAATCATTTAGATCACATTTAAAATCATGTTTTGCCAAAACTTTCGACTTTAAGGAAATTCACCTCAAGGTTAAAACAATGAATTTTGCATTTGAGCAAAGCTTGAATCTGGGGGACTGCCATGGTCGTCACCAACGTCGCAATGCGTGGCTTGGATTCCATACAACAAACAAGAATCCGGTTATTATAGCTATTCCCGAGGAAAGACCTCATTATGGTTTTATTACAAGTATATTTTACCCCACATTTCAACAAACAGTGTTGGCTGCTTCAACGCACAACATGTGCACGGAGGACAGAAATACGCTTCCCGGATTGTTACAAAATCAACGCGAAAATGCAGACAAGTCAATTACTGGGCGTTGCGCTTTGAATTCAATACGTTTAGCGGAATTGTTAGTCAGAATGAGCGCAACTCGTGCTGCAAATCAATGAAAAGCCACTGAACACTAATGACAATTTTGCTCACATTTTGCAATGTGACTATTACCTGGTGTGAACATAGTGACAAGACACTGATGAAATGTACTTACAGCAGAAATTGGGAAACACAATAAATGGGAACTTGCACAGTTCCAAAATAAAACAATTCATCTGTCTACGCTAAACTTACGTCGCGATATTTTACCAAAAATGTCTTCAGTGGTTCAACATAGTTTTCAAATCCCAATGCATTCATGGCCCAAAGAAGATCTTCACCATTGATAGTTTTGCGTTTTTCGTTTTGGCAACGCTCAGCAGCTCTAGCATAAACTGGTAATACGATAACTCTAACATACTCGCTAGTTATGAAACTGATAAACTCGGATACACATTCTTGTACGCATTCTTTGGCGTCTTTTGCCACTTTTCCATTTGGGGGGATGGCTCTTTTCATTATCTTGGACACATTTGCTATCGGAAGAAAACGGTCCTAGGTACAAAAATGTTGATTTAAAAAAAACTAACCTGTTCACGAAGTGGTGATCTCTGCTCCATGTCAGTAGCTGAATAATCGGCGTCAGCGTCAGTCAAGGAGCTATCGATGGTGCCATAATAGCCTGCATCCTGATAGGCCGACTCATCCGCTTGGTTATCAGAAAGGGAATTCATTTTGTCTAAAATTAATAAACACGACTACTCATTCTAATGAGTTAAGATGCTCTGCGAGGACGAAAAATATTCGTATGAAAGCAATTAAAAACATTAAACTACAATAGACACTCGGAAATTTCCAAATGGGGCTTATTACAGCGTCGCGGTATGTACTACATTGTATACGGTTAAGAAATCCCGAAACGTGTTTATACACCGAACGTAGAAGCTAGGCCTTGTTAGGCATTACCAATTAAAAGAAACATAGTGACCAAACGATTTACTAAGTAGGTTCGTTAACTAAGGGTCATTACACCATAATTACAGAAACAAAAGTGGACAACCCAGTTTGTGCACTACGACACACCAGAAAAACATTTGTATTGAATTCAATACAGGGCTTTGGGCCAGAAATTTTTGGTTTTCACAAAAAATTGGAAAGAAACAATTTCAAAATACCTCCTCTTGCAAGGAAATGCCATCTTATTCTGATTATTTAATCGCACATGTCCTTTTTAAATATACTACAACCACAACAAAGTTCAAAATGTGCAGAGTGTAAATGTGGCTGAAATTCCAAAACATACTATGGAAATGGCAGGTGGTGCCACAGAAAAAAATACAAATTAACTGTAGAGAACTGCAAAAAATGACAAAAGAAGAAGTATATCGACCGCAAAGTACCTGGGCGCACACCAGGTTTTGTTGCTCTAAATAGACGATAATCAAATGTTGCAGGAAGGATTATGCTGCGTCAATAAGACAAATAACGCATATAGATTAAACGAGACCAAAATACCAGCCAATTACCTGCACAGTGAAGCCCAATAAGCGAAACAAAATTGGCGGCTTCCTGATATCTTCCAATAAGGATCCCTAATTTACTCACTACCAATACACAGAGGCGATCAAAAAATTGATTGGGTTGATTTAAACAACCATAACAGCTATTAAAAGCAACAGGCGTGAGTATAATTATGTAGTTAAATAAACAGATTTCCTCGTAAAAATTTTGCCAGTGATGAACGAATGAGAGTACACATAGTCAATATCTTCAATAAATCAACCCTTAAAAAATCGCATCTTCACGTTTTATTGCGACATGTGTAAACAGATATGACATTCAATCTATCCATTTATATTTACGCAGGCAAAAACACATCATTCCGTGTAATTATACCTACACATTCACAATCAATCTTGCTACTCTTTTCTGCATTTCACTATTTTTGCATGCAACACATAATCCGAATGTAATTTCTTAGCAAACGCCGTTTATTACGTCCCTTTCCTATGGATTTAAAGCTTAAGATATCTTCTGGCCACGAAATTTCACTAAATCCTGTAAACCACTGCTAAGTTAGTCAATCTAGTGTGGGCTGAGATTTGGTCGTCCCTGGTCCTTGTAATCTTTCAGCATTATATCTATGCATTATATGCTAAAATAACCGTAAAAGCGTTAGCCTGAACAAAGTTGCACATGCTTTTTATTTGCAAATGAAATGTAATAGTGCATGGAAGGCTTTGAATGCACGGGACATATAACTTTCAGTTATCTGATTTATTCTATAGAACCGGGATGTGTACAAAAATGAATACATGATAAAACAATTTGCATAATGGTCAGCAAACAAATGACAGTAAAATGAGGGATAAAGTATTTTGGGCGCTGGCTTGGACGGGAATTAATTTGAAAGCAAATAAGACTGAAAAAGATTATCTTCACATCTGGCTTCGTGGCCTCAAGTAGGCATTGAATGACGCGCCGGATACCGAGATTAAATCTATCCACTAAATATCCGTCTCCACCGAATCAACGAGGAAACGGGACAATCAAGCCGCGTCACGGTTTTATTTATGAAGCTGTTAAGACCGTTATTGTGTCTGTGCCCATTTAAGTAATTCGTGTTGCCTCTCAGCCTTGTTCTCATCACCGGCCCAAAATTTACAAAACGCCGACTAAAAAGCAGGAGGATCTCTAAACGTCGAGGGCACAAACCTCTAAATAAATTTAAATTGTCCTACATATCTTAGAATCACGAATTCCCTCATTCACTTTCAAATTAAAATGCTCATATCATTACTGCTAAAATGACGTAGGTTCATTATTTTTGATAATTTAATAAATTTTAGTCTCTAAGTAGATAAATTGTTACGTCGAAAATCATGTAATTTAACAAGATGACGTCTTGAAATTGTTAAGGGTTGGATTTTAATAACTTCTATTCCAAGGCGCGTTTTGTAAGGTCGTGTGCTCGATTGTCTACCTTACAAAATATGCATTTTCTGAATATAATTAAGGATGAAATTTGCGCTGCTGGCTTGGACGGCATGCCCATAAGTCACTTATGGCACATTCTGGAAGAACCACTTGTCAAGTTTCCAATAAAAATCGACCAGGAATCCAAGGAGTTCCTTTGGTCCAGAATTCGTCATTTCAAAAATTTTGATTTTTATGTATTGCCCAAAGACCCCCCTCCGTACATGTATTTTGACAGGTTTGATAATCTTGAAGAAAATTCATCGGACTTGTGCTATTCTTCTTCGGTAAATCTCTACACCCCACCAATATCTGTAGGTTCCCAAGACTGAGAAACGGCTGTATCCCGTCGATGACCCTAATGTTTATGGTTCGTGCTTGCACTACAAGACACGCACGTTTGTTACCAGCGTTATTTTGAAGGAAGATTTGACATATAAAGATGCTCACTGTCGGTATGTCGTTGTTTTCTATTTATTGCTTCAGATGGGGGGATCGACTTGTTGTTGTTGCCTCACAGGCTCTTCGCACACTTTTTCTCACTGGCTCTGAAGCACTTAATGCTTCCATTAACGCAAAGCTGTATCGTATTTTAGAGCTCATAGCAAAGTACGTGGTTATACCTATTTTCTCATCCCAATATCTACAGTTCACTAATCCCGACTTTTATTCTAGATCAAGGTATAATGGCATCCCTATCTCTGGACAGGACGGCATCTTGTCATATGGTGAATCATCATCTACCGTGTTCTATATTCGCAAACTCTTCAGCGCCGATGGTCTTATCAAGTCTCAGGTATGATCTTTTTATCAATGTAATTTGCAGCCTTTTATCACCCGTGAAATTTCGCGGAAAAACCTTCGCCGGACAACTCTCTTGCACAGCTTTCGTTTCTTCAGGCCCATTACGTATCCTTTGGCGTTAGTAATGGAAAAGGTATCCAATTTGCTTGCGGAAGCGCCCACTAAAATGTTACTCCCTTTTACTATCCGCCAGGTACTTTCCATTTTCCATGAACAAATAATTTGAGCAATTACTGTAGACGTTTTCAATGGGAAGACGGTCATTTATGAGAATTCTCAAGTTTGGTGTGCAACAAGGCTGTCTTAAATTGATCCATGTACCCTTTGGGACCGCGTGCGCACTGGTAAATGGTTCTGATGGTGACTGTGGAGAGGTGTCTGCCGAAATGTTACGAAAGGAGGCCGCGGAATTAAGCAGTCTTGAAATTTCGCAAGCAGAATCATTACCAGAATCCACTGGCCGAAGACACGTGCGTGAAGCAGCTGTTGTGTACCTACAACGCCCATTTGACATAAATAAATACATGGTTGAAGCCCATATCAATCGTGGCAGCCGTCCCGACTCGGTTTCTGAGTTGGTCGATGGAAACAATATTGACAACTCTCCAACATCGGACGAACCTAGTCCCGGTGATGGGCATGATTTAATGCGGATGGAAAATGGCGATGCTTTTGCATGTGCCCCTTATTGTATGTTCCATCAAAGCGCATGGGTGTAATTTTTCTTCCTTTTTCTTTGATTTCTTTAATTTTAGATACGCCTAACGTGAATGGTGAAGAGTCATTCTGTGTGCAGATTTGTCGGCTTTTGTGTAGAACAGGAGGAAAGCCGAACTCTCAACTAGCTGCACACTTCAATACGTCTCATAAACTTATGTCGAGATACACGGACGCTCTTGCTGGTCTAGGGAAGTTACTTACTTCCAAAGTTTCAACGGGAACTACATTTTCCTTAGTGTAAGCTGATTCAGATTGTATCCTAGACCCTTGCCTAGCACTACTGATCACTACCTTCCAAATGCTCAGTTTTCACGAGTGAAACCTCTCTTATTTTAGGCGACAATACCTGACCGAGAAAGAGGCACTAGAATTTCAAGAGACACAAAAAGGTTGGCATTTCTACTATTTGCACAAATCGCCTTTAGATGCACAATACTGACACTTCATGTGCCCCCATATTCTCTACTTTTTTATTATTGCGCTTTTATTTCACCTTTCAGAGTTCCGACAAACTGGCTTTTCTTCTGTTTGTGAGTTCCAATTTAAAGCTGCCCTCTGAATTATCGGTTTTATTCAAACTACTTTCCTTTAAATACCGGCTGCTTAATGATTCCGGTTGTTTGCCAGTAGCATAATTAATATTTCATTTTTTTTAAGGAACAAGAATCGCAACCGATTTCTCAGTTCTTGTCCACATTTCCCTTAAATTTTCTACTGCCTTGGTAACTTTTCATTTTTTGTTCGCTCCACGTTATATCTGACACCTTAATATTTGCTGCCACTTTGCGCTTAGTAAGCGTGTGAACTGTCAACTTGTTTTTTAACGCCTAAAATTAGGCAATTCGCCACAATACTGTGCTTATAGGCAATATAGGGATTTACTCTGCCTTCCAATCATCTTTAAAACAGAATCGTAGCCAGAAATTCCATGAATGCCTTTAGCTAGGGTCGTGACCAGACATGGTCATGAAAGCGATTTGCATTCATTCGGGCAATTACAGTTCCTTTGTGTTTTTGCCTTGTTGGCATCCTGAATTAATATTATCCATCTGTTCACCGTTAGTCGTGTGATTGAGCATTTCTCTCTAATTGCAATATTTCCACCTTTGTTGTGCCTCAGACAACCAACGTCAATTCAGAAAGACGTTTATCATTAAAAGCCTTGAAGAATCTAAGGTATTTCCTTCGGTCGTCGATTTGCGTTCCCGGATTTGGGCTCATGAAGAATCTCAAGGCATGAAGGGAAAGATGGATCGGAAATCTCTCGCTCGCATCATCAATGAACTGGTCAATGAAAAAAGACTCAAATTTATCGACATGGAAATCGCCGGAAGGCGATATGATGGTTCTACCCGACGTGTCGAAGTAAGTCCCTCAATTTTCCGTTGCAGTTTTTAATTTTGCTGGCCTTTCTTTCTTCCGATACGTAGTGGCACATTGGCTTGCTCCACTTTTAACGAATATCCTACGGTTTTGCTCTATGTTACCAAGATCTAATGCATGAAGTGACAAGATTTCGATGAGTCGATTATCGAACGACTGGTAACTGTTCGAACATGCAACGTAAAATTTCCAATAAGCGTGGCCTAGGTGCTGTCACTGAGGGCATTGTTTCTGAACATTTGGCTAAAATCATATGCATTCTGAAGATTCCTACATTTTCCTGTTGTAGCATGCTATTTTTATTGCCATTAGCTTGTCCGCCTGTAGTTGCAATCTATTCCGGTTCCCCATCTTCCCGATCGATTTATTGCTACAGTAAAGACGTAGTTGGCTTAGCGTGCTAAGTCGTCTGTTTTAAATAGAAACCCGTAACATCGATCGCTCAATGAACATCGCTACGTGAAGTGCATTCAGGCTGATCGAATGAATTCGTGCGCGCTGATCGCCACTATATAAAAGTAAACTTGTCGGCGAGTTTAAAGCCCTAGTTTCCCAAAATCACTGTGTTGCTAGTGGGTGGTCTCGCGGAGTTGGTCTTTTGCCGACAATTTTTATTGTGTCTCCATTTTCATTTTTTAGCTTAAGCTCGTCTGCCATCCCAGCATCGACACAGATTCCCCCGAACTGATAGACTGCGTAATGGCTGAGAAGAGGCGCTGCATGATAGTCCCGAAATCGTATGGTGCACTTCGCCCTGAAGACGCGCTTGGTACTGATAACAGCCAAGTAGTGCCTGAGGAGCCCCCAACAGACAGCACATCCCCCTACGTCCAAGCGCTTACCAAAAAGGTTTGTCATTCGCATACATCGCTTCGCGGTTTTTCATCCTTATTTTTGCAACATTTCCATTCAGCTAGACCGTATTTTGTGAAACTTGGCTAAATCTTTTATTGTTCAGTGAAGGATTCTTCCTCTCAGTCTTAATGAAGGATTCATACTCTCCCCTGTTTAATATGTCTGTTTGAGGTAAATCAAGGCGGCTTCAGTGGGCAGAAGCTAGTGTCGCTTAGTCTGCCTTGATTAAATACTGGTAGCAGGATTCACACCTCAAATTCACGAACAGCATTTACGGTTATTTGATACGTATCTGTGGGCTGTACACTAGGGCAAAATAAGTCAAAAGCCTTTCGTAGATGCTGGTCTCACCGGGCTTTCGGTTGATATATTCAAGTTTATAAAGGGCCACTTTTTTATTAAGGAACTCGAGCTCATTCGTCTACCTGATAAAAACATCTCCAAGTTACGTCGACGCTGTCTTCTGCACAAGTTCCTCTTCTATCTGCTCTACGAAGGACCAAAGGATGCGAAACCCATCGCCACCTCGGTAGTTCTCTTTTTTTGCATACTTGGGCTCTAGTGTATCCAAGGTTTTTTTTTCTGTATGCTGACCCTTTTTGCGTGTTTGATGAAGGCTGTCCTGCATCTCCTTGACACTAGACTCCTGTTGACTTGGTTGTATTTAGTTACTCGTTGTATCGTTTCTCTAAGCGTCATGGGAAATATTGTTTTAGCTTGAACACACCTCTGGGGTTTCGGACGATTATAATCTATTGTATCAACCTTGTCCACCTTGCCTCATGTTTTGCTAGGGTGAGCGTAGATTTTGACCTAAATTGAGTGATGGCCTGCCTTTGGGGACGGGTAACACGACAACGATAATGTTGCATTTGCACAAATTCTTATACGTTCTTTTAATTTTAGCATGAAAAATGGGCCCCAGTCTACAATGAAACCTCGGTCACGTACCGTTACGTTCCACCTTCCGCCCGTAATCACGCAGGTAAATTTACAGGGCATTGCATTACCGTTTTGATGCAAGCAGTAATTCAGTGGACGTGTAGTCTACTCTGTCGCACATAATGCAGATGTGATGAATTGACCTCTATTGCCTGCTTGACTTAAATGGCGTGTTTCTGCAATTGTAGTTGCTGGATGGATTACGTTTCACGACATGATCCAGGCGATGCCACTGGGCCTCTTCCTGGCCATTTCAGCCCCTGGTACTGCTCCACGCCTGCTTCTCCAATGGCTCTCAGTCCTCAAGGGTGGAGAGGCCTCCTTGCGGCCAGTCCTCAGAGAGATGATCACTCAGCAGTCCGCACAAGCCAGCGCTTTTTCACCATATCGTAAAGACGGATCCTCCCCAACGCCTGATGCACTTAGACGCTTCGAACTCCTTCGTACGCCCATAGCGTCTTGCCCCTGCCCGGGTGGGCGTAGTGGTGGTCTCTACACCTGGCTCATGAGCCGATACAATGTGACTAGAATATACTCCGTTGTTGAGCAACTTTCTGGCCACGGTCTTCTGACACTTAACGGTCAATCGATGCAAGATCATCTTCCAATGGTAAGTTACTTACTTTGTGGATTTGAGCGTTGTTTTACTTCGATGGTTTTAAGATCTGAGTGAGCACTACAGCTTTGTTTGGTCCGAATCGCGCTAATGAAAAGGAAAAATCCGATTCCTTGTTAGTTAAGCCGTGCAACGGCAATATCAAATCTCCAACGCTGAATACAAAATAAGTGCCAATTAATGTAAAGCGTAATTTTGCTTGGCTATTTAAGGGAGAGTTAACCTAATTAAATTAACAGTCTCTACACTTTCTGTCTTCGTGGTCCTTTATTTTCCTTTAATGTTCGGGGGTCTAGTTTAAGTAGGTACAAGCTTTTCATAATCAGACATGATTTCGTTTCTGTGTAATTGGATTAGATGAAATAGTGTTTTCGATGACCTGAGGTGTTATGAATGTTTTGAGGTTTTTTTCCCTAAGTAGTGGTGTAAATAACAGTTTTTTTCCGTGTGCACGCTAGTTAAATGAACCAGCTCGTTGGCTGTCCAGTGTCGTGCCCCGGTCGCTCGTCCAGGTTGGTTGGGGTGGGATAAAAATTAGCCACGAGCTCGGTCCTATGTTGACTGGAACTTACTTTACGACCTACGGTATGATTTCCCACGTACATGTAATTGATAACACCGCAAACAATCTTAGCAATACTCATCCCAACAGCTTCTAGATTTAGATTAAATTCGGTGCTGCCTCTAAATTTCTTGTCAACTCCAAGCCATTCTCTACTGTCTTTTTTGTCAAGCTTGAACAGCTTGTTGACAGGCACCCTTGTTGCAGCGTGAAACCCCGATCAGAGTTACCCAAGGCAAGAATATTTGTGGCGAGTAATATTCAACTATTTCCTGGGCGGCCGGACAAAGTTGTGCAAATGTAGGGTAGCGAAAGACTGCAAATTACAGACATGCACGGGTGGGAAACTGTGGCGCCAGTGAACTGAACGGACAGAGGTCGATTGCACTAACAGACGGGTAAGAGGGGCTGCTGGACTAAGTTCTAGGCTCTCTGTGTGATTGTCTGCTAGCGGCCTCAGTCGACAGAGGTCGGTTGCACTAACGAAAGGTCAAGGGCGCAAGCCGACCAACTTTAAGGCACGGGATGATTTATCTCCCGGTGTTTGGTAAAATAGACACGAGAGCTAGTTTGGACGTGTCCGTCTTAATTGGTGGGATTAATAAAAAAAGTTCAAATGCGCGGTTGCGAATTAACACGACCGGCAACAGCCTGTTCAGCAATAGGATTCTGAAGCTTTCGATTTTTTATCTGATTTGGTTAATCCCTTTGCTTTGCCTTCATATTATAAAAGGAGTTATTTTTGAGCCACCGGTTCCAAAAACTAAGGATAATCCCTGCGTTTACCTCAATGATCTAATTTAATATATATCGTAAATACATTTTTAAGGTTTCCCGGATGTAGGTAGTTTAGTTGGCGAATTCATAAATTAGCAAATACTTTGGTCAAATTTCGGTGAGGTTTATTTTACTGGTGACGCTACACCTATGGTTACCACACATTTCGCAACTGGGTATCTCGCGAGGCTCGAGTCCTAAGGACTTCACTCCAGCAACACCCTACTCTTCTGTTAGAGAACTCTTTCCACTTTAGGCCAACATCTATGTCCACAGACGCGCAGCCCTACTGGACACGCGTTTTGCCTCCCCAGCCCACCACATACTTTCGGACGTTTCCGCGTGCCCTCCTCCCCTCACATACCATTTCAAAACAATGCAAGATGTAGACGGTTACTGGCTAAACCTTCGTGCTATTCTCCTGTACACTCCATATGGCTTTACACGTTTCTCGGATCCCAACATCAACCAGTTCGTTCACACCAAGGCCCCCATTCTTTCTGTTGGGCGTCTTCAGGACATCAGTGCCTCGGAACAATCGACGCCCACCCTTCCAACCCTTTGTCCCACCAGTCTCAAGTCGCCGTTGTCCGCAGTCCCTCTTACGGGTGATGTAGACATAGATGGGGGCACGTCGGATCCAGTTACGTTGATCGGAGTGGGCGGTTTGCATGCCTCATTGTACCTCTTCAAGGCACCATTTGAGGAGATGGGTTATGGGACCACGGATCAGGGTCTGTGCACCCAATACGTACCTCAATATCCGTCACCTAACCTGCAACTCCAGCCAGTTGTGAGAGCGAAAGAATTACGGGAGATTTTGGGATCGTTTGAACCGGATCTCCGGACGACAGGTGACGGAGCATTTTGGCCATGGACAGTGCAGCTATTTTTCAGTGAGTTTTTGTGCGAATTTGGTTCGTCTCAGCCTGCCTTAATGTAACGGTAATTTAATTTGTTTGTTGTAGACACCGATCCAGTCATCGAACTGCCACCTCCTCCCAAGCTTCCAGCTTGGCTTTTCTCAACTCGTTCTCGCCGTTTTCCTTTTTTAATCGAATCAATGGACTCTCAAGGCGAGAGTGGCTCTTGTGCAACCGGTGCCTCCCGATCTCGTCCTCTACACCGACGCAAACTGAGGGGATCGCGACGGGGTAGTGCTGGTCCCTCTTCTGACACTACTGGCAGTTCCTCAGACGCTAATGAAGAAGAAGAAAATTCCTCCTTCGAAGAACTTCAGCCGATTCTTAAATCGCGAAAAAGGCGGCTGCAAAAGAGGACCTCAATACCTCACATTCATCGACATGCGTGTACGCTGCTTCCCCGATTGGTTGAACCCAGTGTGGTGCCAACAGTGGCTCAGTCCGTTTGGGGGCTTGTTGCTTTCCCTAAACTACTCTTATTTAGCAGACAGATTCAATCTATTTACATTCACCACTCCAGTTACGTTGAGCGACTGAATTTCTTAGTTGGTCTAAATGAGGCAGCAGTCGAGTGGAAAATAACTTTGTATGTATGTTGTATGCTGTCGCTTCGTTTCTAACCAGAACATATTAATTGTGGCTGTTGTGGCGCTGTTTACAATATGCGATTCTTTTCTGTTTAGTTGGGCGGCGCAACATCGTGGGAGACAAAAGAGCGTGTAAGTTTCTTGGTGCTAGTACCTCGTCTTGTCTGCCCTCTCACCTTCCGACTTTACCTTTAGAACGATTGGTGTACTTGATGAATCAGATAACCTATCCTATTTATTTATTTACTACAAATAACCCACCCGTTTTCGCGTCTTCTAATGCATTCCTCATGTGCGTGTTTCCTTTTAGCCAGAAGCAGCCTAAATTTTTGAAGGAACGATGTATTGTATGCATCCTTGATCAGGCACATTTGACAAAAACGGAAATGCTATTCACCTACTGAGTCTTAAACTTTCTGATAAAAGGCTTCGGGAAGAAATCAGGAAAAGTGCTCTAATTAATCATAAATATTATAATTTCGTCACATGTTCAGGCTAGACTATGTATCCATTATGTTTATGTCTTCAGCTCTGATTTTGTCATGATGATACATTAATTTCTTTTTTACTAATATTCTTTTAGATTGGTGGTGTTTTTGACTAACATAATTCTGCTATTGTTGGTGGTTTCTTGGGTCTTCAAGTGTTACCGTTTTTAAACCTGTGACCTCTTAGTGTCAGACGTCAGTTTTAAGTAAGCACTTTTCCATTTTTCGCTTTTCTGTTCCAGTGGACGAAAGAGATGTGGAAATTCGGAATAGCCTACACTACCGACGCGCCAGCTGGTGCAAACTGGAAGATCAAGTGGTAATTTATGCCTCTTTTTAAGGCATTTTTCTTTTAAGTAACTTCGGTAGATCAAAACTCTCTCCATTCTCCTCCAGCTGCTGACCTGTCGCGTAGCCTCACTCTTCCTGGTTGGCCACACACGAGAGTACGTGTGCATTCCCTACGTCATTGTTCGCGACATTCTTCATGAATATCTGCCCCTGGTAAATCACTCATTGATGCTGCACCACTTAATGCTGCCTCTTGTTATCCCTTTAGGTGCAAGCAAAGGCGTGTTACTTCAGCATTCACATTGACCAGTGCCAATCTGCTTCACGTAGCGCTCTAAGCCCATATATCTTCCTGGAAGTGTAATCTTCTCTCACTGGTCATTTATTCTTTACATTACACATTACCGATCTCGCCTTCATTGAGAAGACAAAGACATTGTGACCTACTACAAAAATGTCTTTATATTTTTTTGTGAAATAGTAAAGAATGTATTAAGTAGCACTTATATTCAAAATTCTTGCAATTCGTTAAGTTTTTTCCCTTATGACTGGTTTTGTTTGCCTTATTTGAGTTATTTGGATGTAACACAGATGATTGATTTTAGGAAAGCAAGGATAAAACTAGTCTCGCCTGCGCTCGACGTCTCAAGTTTCTTTTGATGTTGCGAAACGAGGACCGAACACGAACTGATGTTCTTCTTACCAAAGTGTCTAGCGATCCTGAGCTCTTGGCTAAGGTGATTCGATTTTTTTCGCATCTTATTCCTTTTCACGTGATGTGAACTGCAAACTTTGCCTGCTACATTTTGATCTGCGTCCGCAAGTGTCTGTGTTACGTGGCATGGTTGGCGTCGTTCTAAATGTTGAATTTCAAATCTGCCCCTAGTTCTCAATCCAAGGCTTTTGTTGCGTCGCAGATCATGACAGCACCCTGGGCTTAGTTGCGAACGCGCTTGTTGAGTGACTAAAGTCGCCAATTACCGTTGCTATCACCACTTCGTTTTCTCTCTTTAGTACAACATCGGAAAGGCGGCTTGGGCGCACTTGTACAATCGCGATGCAAGACAGGCACATCAGTTGTTCAAGGATTTGGTCCGCCTCATCATTTGCAACTTTGTTCCTGATTTGCACAATAGATGTGGTCACATTATCAATAAATCACTTGTGATGAGTGAGTTTTTGTCTTACCACTTTCCATAGTGCACATTTGTATGCGAAAAGCCGCTTAGAGTTCTGTGAGGGTTAACATGTTCAAGAGGAACTGTGTTCCACATGTGCAGTAAGAGTTGTAAGTGGAACTTCGTAACACGATGTCATGTTTCCTACTCCAGATCCTTCCACTTTGAATGAAAAGAATGTTAATCCCGGGCCACGTCTATTCCCCATTCGCGAGATTCTAATGAATTCCAGAGGGACTCTACGCGAGCGCTATGACTTTATCCTCCTCGCATCCATGCATCATGATCAAAGTCTGCCTGGCATTGGAAACAGTCGTCCTGCAATCGTGGCCGAAGCCCTGCGAAACCTTTTCTTGGTAATGTGATGTTATTGAGACGTAGCTTCATTCTGGTCATGTCGTAAATCTAACACTTTTCTATCGGGATAGTCTTTTCAGTGCTCGGTATTGACGGTCGGACTAGTCATTTATAGCTGTTGCAATAATTGTGAAGTTATGGCCACACTAGTCAACAATGGGTAACTTCGTTGTGCTCTCCGCCGCGTTTCTTAACTGACTGGTCATCTAAAAGGGCTCTTTTCAATGCAGATTGCTTCGATTCTGCTGTTCGGGTCGCTAGTGTACATGCAGTGCTACCATATCTTGGGTTTTTTGATTGAAGAAATTAGTATAAAAGCACTATAGTTGTTTTCTCCTCCTCAGGGCTCTATTCGTTTTTGCCCGGAACCTCAAAATCCGCAGAATTCGGTCCTTTTCAATCGCATTCTGAAGCAGTATCCCTATGAACAAATGAGTGAAGCAGTCAAATGCCTTTCCTCCACTGACTCTGTTCGCAAGCTCAAAAGTTTTGAAGTTAGTGCTGAACTTCTGCTAGTTATTTTATTGAGTACTAATCAGTGACATTTCCACTCAATTTTTCCAACATTCCAGGATAGCGATCTCAGTGTTGCCGGGCAATTTCGCGTCAAGGTAACCCTCAGGTTAGTTTCCGAAATTCTTTATAGCTTACGTAATTGTGCCCTGGCAGTGCTACGTCAAGTGATGGCCTCAGATCGATAGGCAAACCTATGCGGCTTATCTGACCTTGATGTGGCGGTCTAACGTAAATGTAACCCCCCTTTGTTGATGCCTTCTTGTGTTCGTGTGGCCATTGTTTGGTCGGTGTTGTGGGGCACAAACCAATTTATGAGGGTCGAAACTGTTTCTCAGTTGTTTGAAATTTGACTGCGAAGAAAAGAACTCTTCAAGAGTTCGTAAGAATCAGTGTGAAAGGAGAGCTTCGACTAGAGACGCAGCCACTGCCCTCCACGCGAACTGTTGGACACATGCGAAGTTCGTTTAATTTAATTTTGTGTGAAGTGAAGGCAAGACTGCCATAAACACCATAGACAGATTTCTCTTCGACGGATGGCAATTCATCTGGGTGTTGCTTTGTCCCCCGCTTTTTCCTAGGCTTGCTACTTGGTGCAACGCGCAGATGTTCATCTACATTCGTTTCTTCGTCGAGACGCTAAAACTCCAAAAGCAGCTCGCCGATGAAGCCAGATGCCTCCGAGCTAAAGTGCGTCGTCAGAAGACCAAACAGGTGGAGGCGGCAACGCCAAATGAGTGGCTTGTCGCCAAGCACCAATTCTCCGATCCCACCTCCGGCGGGCTAGTTGCGACCTTCTTTGAACTACTTTACAGCCAGCCGGTATGTGGGTTGGTGAAGTTGTTAATTACCTCTCAGTTGTAGTAGTGGATCTATTGAAGTCTCCGCAAATGCTTGAGCAGGCCATTTTCAATAACCCTGTCGCTGATGTATCCGATGAGGGCCCGGGCATGTGGTCTCACCACCCTGGTGCCGCTGTGTTTAATCAGCCCGTTTGCACTACACGGACACTCGAGAAAGCAAGAGACCTCAATCTAGTTCTGTCGTGCCACCAAGCATAAAATCGTGTCCAACTAATGGGATTTGTTAACCTATACAGTCTGTAAAAGTACAAATGGATGAATGGCCAGATGAATGGGACGGGTGGGGGGGGGGTTCGTACGCTCACAGAGGTGTATGAGCAGACGGTTTCGCCTAATCGATTGGGGCGCCGTGAAAAGATCAATGCGGCCTAAAATGCGACGACCCGGTTAATGGACGTGAACCAACGTGATTCGCTAAACATCATGCTGAGATTTGAATTATCCAATTTAGATACATTTTCAGACAAAATTATGACAACGCAGTCGTAGTTTTTTTTCTGAGAATTTTGCATGTCGTTCGTAGTGCCACCCGCATTCAAAGTTCACTTGACAATCCGCTTACCTAACAAATTGCACTTTCAGTTACCATGATGAGACCAAGGGGATCGCTGAACATTGGCGCAAGCACTAGAGTCAATGTAATGGGACTTGGAGAAATTGTGGAGAGAATAAACCAAAAAGATAGAATAAAATGATAGTGAGCTGTATACCATGGAGCAGACTCTAAAGTACAGAGGAAATCGGTGTTTAGTTAGCGTTAGCCCAAATAGTTTCCATAACTGAATTTGTGTGTTCCCAAAGAAAGTTTGTGTGTGCACTTGGAGGTGCTTATTCCAGTGTGACTTGGTAGCGTATATGGTCTGCTTTCTAATGCGTGAATGTCGCGAATTTCTAGCTAGATGGTCAAAGTGCCATCGCCATGTTGGCTTTTGTGTAGCACATTTTGACAACGATCGACGGTATACTTTGCGAAGAAGGCTTTGTTGATCTGAAATCTTGTATGGGAGTCTCTAATTCTGAAGGTTTTATTTTATTGCAGCATGTGAAACTGAGGGTAAACTTCGACATGAGCTGTATCAGTATCCTCAGTAAGCCTTGTATGTCATTGGGTAAGTCAGCGGCCCTTCTTTCTCGCTATTCGCTCTAAATAATGTGATGTAAATAGCAGTTGTGTTTGCTCGTTGTAGAAGATCGCAAGGCGGAGCTCAGAAGCACCAAGAATGGGGAGGATAAATCGCCAGTTCCTGTGGCTCCTCGTCAGAGCGCACCGACATCTTTGCACTTCGGGGAATCAACCCACATTGGCATGACGGTCGCTCTTCTGGAGGGCAGAGAGCCGAGCAAAAGCGGAGCCGAAGTGGTCGCAAACAGCTCCACAAGCACAGCTGTTACCGAATCTCTGATGGCTCTGTTGCTCGATGGTGTCAGTGACGGAGTGGAAAACGGTGCCAAGGGCAAAACCCCTCGGATCGATATTCGACTGTCCTTAAACGGCGGATCGATTGAGGCTGTTGTTCCTGAAGCAGTGTCCCACGTCACCGTAGTAGATGGTATGTCGTGATTCAGACAGTATTGAATGCAGGAATTTTTTTTTTTTTCATAATCCGAAGCATTATCTGTCAACCTTTCCCACAACCCTGCGACTTCGAACGCGCTGCTCCGCTACTTTTTCTCATTCCTAGCAGTTTTTTCCTTATGGCAATCCAATTAGTCAATGGTTTGCATTCATTTTTTTCTGTACGCAACCAGGTTAATTCCATCCAATTCCTATTTTTTATGAATAAACTGTAATCAGTACCCTGTATCTATCTTCGTATAACATCTGAAGTTAGGTGTGGTATGGCTGCAGTACAGAAACCAGGCCCAGTTTATGCACAGCTGTGCCCTTACAAGGCTTCGGCACACGGAAAAATTACTTAACATCTCTGTGCTGCGCTATTTCTATCACACCTGCTACTTGTTTGTTCGATTAACCAAAGAATGAACCGGTTGGCGTTTGCTTCGGTGCAAGCCCAGTGGTGAACTTTACTCCCATACTCTTCCTGAAACGGCGAAGTGAAACCAAGCGATTTTTTGCAGCATTGTCCTTGCTCCTTAATGATAGTACTGGCGTACGCGTATAAATGACGAGGCTCAATATGATGGGAACCACGGTACCGAAATCCGCGTTTACTTGGCACCTTGATCATAACTAACTGATTAAATTTTCTTTGATTAGGGGAACCGGAGCACAAGAGGCTTTGTCGTCGAACTGTTGCGAAATTTACAGCACCTCTTAATTGGGATTCTGCTGCTGCGAAGGCTCAAACAGGGGGATCCCAGGAGACGACTACAGAGACCCCCGACAGCAAGTCGAGTCGTCTGCTTGACTTTGTCTTTGCTGCTGGTGATCGTGGAAGACCGTTTGATCAAATTCGGGTGCGCTCTCGTCACTATTTTGCTTCATTGAAAATCTCAATAATTTATCTTTTTTCCTTGAGTAATGTGCGCCATAATGGCCCCCCGGTTACTATCTAGCCCTTGTACAGGCTCACCGAAATTTGTCAAAACCCATTGATTTCACCGTTGTGGTTCCTGACGGAATCCTGTTTTGGTGAATACTTCAGACATTTGGGTACCTGATTCACTGCAACATGGCACAAGTACTTTGATGTTGCTTTGTCCCTCTCTTAATCATCGCTTTTTGAAGATTTGCGATCGATTCCATCGGGAAATAATTTGACTCAGATATGCATTGGGGCCGCAGGATTGTGAGAAATCGAGAATGTTAACAGGGCACGTCCGTTTCTTAGTCCACTCGGAAGTCTTCACTAGGCTAACATGTATGCGAAATTGCTAATCACGGTACTCAATAGGCCGAAGCCACATTTTTACCAAAGAAATTGATGAGAAAATTTTTACGTATGAATAAGTAGAGTTTGTGTATGTACGCGAAATTTACGCTACTAGATGCAATCACCTTTCATGCTGTGGGCTTTATTTCATTGTAAGGGAAATCGTGGTTTTTCTTAAATACTTGTGTTGCATGCTGTCATTGAGTGTATTTTTATTAAAAATGTACGCTTTTATGTTTCGGGTAATATGAATTGACGTAGCATTCTGGTGACAGTGCATTTGTCCAAGCAACGACGCACTTTGCTCCTGTCATGTAATTGCAGTGTAACCCCCAGTAAATTCAAGTGGACTTTTGCATGTCCAATCGGATCAAAGGCTTCCACGCTTTGAACTGTGCGTTGAGTTCCTGGCAAAACTGGCCCCTGTGGACCGCACAAGCGTGAACTCGTGCGGTGCGATTAAGTAATTGTTGTTCTTTTCGTTTTTAGGATAGGTTTGGCGATTCAAAATTGACAAATCACTTGATACGCAAGCTCTTGGAGGACCAGAAGGTAAAGTCCCGAAAGTAAAACTTCTAAAAATTCATTGTACGATCACCTTTACGCACTAGCATACATCTCTTCTACAAGACCTAATGGACAAGGCCACTTGATTGTGGTCATCTGGTTGTTCTTTGTTACTGACTTTAGAAGTAGGTACTGCAAATACGTCTCAGGCACCCACATCAGCGTGTCGTTTGTCTGATTTCATTGTACTTTTCAATGTCTACCGCCGTGTCTATTGAGATTCAATAACGCGGAGCCACCAATCGGTTAAAATTTGGCCAACTTTTACAAAAGTCCAGTGGCTCTCAACCTAGTACAACTGAAGACAAATAGACTACTGTTTGATTAGGCGTTGCTCTCAGTCCTTTTTTGCATCTAGATATTTCTACTGGGACGGAATGAACCGCGCTACGTTCACTGGGCTCACCTTCGTCTCTGGTTGATTCACGTAAAGGACCCCAAAAACCATCAGCGAAATGAAAGTTCTTCTTGCAGCAACGCTGCGACCGCTAGCACTGACGATGAAGTCGTTTTCAAGCGAAGACGTCTCTCTCTCGCCGTCAGTGCTGAATCCTTCGAAAAGTTGACAAGGACGCAGTCAATGGCCACAGACTCCGGATCTTCAGCTTTCGAGTATGTCATTCTGTACATGTTGCATTTAGAACACTTGTGGCGTGTCGTTTGTGCCTCTACACTGACAGTGAATGCATGTTCTAAGAAAAATCATAGTAGAACATGTTTATTGTCTAAAATATTCTGTATCCGTCAGTGCTTTGTACCCCTCAAAATCCGTTTGGATGGTGTAAACGTAGTAAACACCGATACTTTAGTTTGCAATTTACATGCCCACTGTGGTCCAAAAGTCGTGTCCAACTCCTTGACCTCTTTAATCTCACAAATTTGATCTCATTGGAGGTATAACACTGTATTACTATATGAGGAAAAAGTGAAATCAATTAAGGAACCAATTTTGTCGATTGCTGTTAAGTTGTTTCTCTACTTTTGTTCGGTTGGTTATTAGGCAGCTTTTTAAAAAGTTACTTAACTCAAGTACGTAGCATTTTTTTTATAAAACGTGACATCCTCTCAATTCTGCTTATCGCTGGCCGTAGTTCTGTTGCAATTAGCGAAATTCAAGTTTTATCGACCTGGGGTGTTATTGTTCGGAAGGCAGCATGTAATTTGACCTTCAAGAATTATTTTTTGCTGTTCCAAGATTTTCTTGATCCCATTAAAATCTGATTTATCAGGAGAAATTCGCCTGAACTTGACTTCAGTTGTCCTCAGCGTATCCATTTTCGAACTCCCCATTTCTATTTTTGAGTAGGCGCATTGTCTTGAAGTAGTAGCACACGCGGACGCATTAAACCACTGTTTACATAAACAACTATTTTTTTATTGTTAACGAATCTGATATTCGTGAGGCAACTATCACACAACCCGGAATTCGTCTTTTGCCAAACCGAGCAACATATACCGCTTACGGCCTATATACTGATTTGATTACATTCTCCAGCTGTTCTTGTCCAAAAATGGCCTGAATGTGACATATTGCCTATAGTAGCCACTTCTCCAAGACTGACTAGATGGTTAGTATTTGCATAGTTCTCTGTGCTGCTCCTTGAAGTTGTGTGTTTGCACTCCTTACGCACAATTTTAATGGCGCTGAATTTCAGCTTCGAATTTCCGTGTCTCTGTGCGTATTTCTAACCTGAAAGGTTTTTTTTAATTCCTGTCAAAATAACCCGACGAAACGTAGAAGCATTGTTGTTCAGATAATAACCCACCAACTTTTCCTCTAAGTCTTCTACCGTACCGCAACCAACTCTCATGGCATGTGTTCATTGTTCCTGCAGACGGCTTGCTGACGACGAAAAATCGCAGAACAAGGATTACTACTTTATTCCCCAGCCGTGGATCTGCGAATCAGGTGTCATCAAGACCAATTTCTTCACACACCTCATCCAGTCGGCATGTTCCATGATCTCACGATTGTCAGGATCCCCAATGGACGTATTGGCATGTCAATATCGTCATATCCTATCCCCAGTTTCCTTCCGAATCCTGTGTCATGTAAGTTTACTCCATTTTCCCGTCTTTGCTGGATTTTTGCACACTTTTTTAACGGGCGTTGCACACTTGCAATTCACAGTAGCCCTACTGTGGTCTGACGAAAGAGTTAACTCTGCGGTCGAGTAAAAAGTGGATCGCTTAATTCGAAACATGTGCTGTTAATAGTGTCTACGAAAATGAGCATCCTTAGTAGCTTTTTAAATGAACAGTTGTAACGAGGAACCAAGAAAATTAATGTCCATATCAAGTTTGTTTTCATGAGTTACGGGCATTTCTGCGCGTGAAAAACGCAATGTAGTGAGAAGCGCCGATCATGTCTTCCTAAACTGTAGAGGACATCTACAAAACAGTGACTGCATGCCTTTCCTCACAACCGTTTATTTTGCTTTTCATTTTAGTTTCTTCACGATGTCAAAGTGGTTCAGATTTCTCGAGTTGTGTACAATACTAAATGTTCACTTTTTTCCAAACCAGATCCAGTAATTTACCTAGGTAAGTTAAATTAACTCTCTGAGATGCCCAATTGCATCGCCTATGCTAAAAATTATCATACATTGGATGCACGCAGGCTGTGCAACGCTGGTCCAGCATTTCCAATATTTATTTACACTTTTTACTCTTACGAATTGCGTAAATATGTGGTTATTATATCTCCCCAATTCATCTCCGTAAGTACCAATCTGTGTTGCTGTCATAAGCCGCATTGCAGTTAATTGCCCCATCAGTTATGGGACGCCGTGTTTGTATTTTCACTTCACAACTTGAAATCAGATCCTTAAACTCGTTATGCCTACTCTGGAGATGCACGGAAAGAACACTACAACCCTCCGCCGAAATATCACCTATTAGGCAAATGATCATAGCTAATGTATCAAATCAGCTGACACTGCAGAAGTCCTGGGCACGATAGTAGCTTCCGTTTTAGGTACTCGTACTCACCTGATCCCAGTGTTTACTAGTGGTGGATGGATTTACGCAAGTCTACTTGGAATCAAGACCAAAGCATTTCTAATAATCTGCGTCGGGGTCACTTCGATTACTAACATGCTTTTGTCCCACCGTGACGATTCGTGGGGCAACTTTCTCTTAGCAAATAAGCCGGTATTTCCCCGTTCCCCCCCCCGAGTCACATCAGCAGCGAACGCATTTTAACGCCTTCTTATCGTCAAACCTTCGGGTGCCCTATCGCGTGTGGCCATTTTCTACCACTACGAAGCCTAGGCGTCCCGTTAACGAAATGGTAGAATCAAGTAGCCACGTCCTAAACCCAATTCTACCGTGGTTTTCCCTTAAGCAAAGCTCTACCTTCCGCCAGTCGGTTTGTCGCCCACTAGTTCCACGGTATCTTCTGTCGACTACCTTTGGCGCGCGGCCATGGCACCACAGATTAGTATCCTAGTCTCCTCTACTCTACTTTTTTCTTAGGCGACCAATTCCTTCTTGCCCCGGCACGTGAACTCAGCCTCAGTCTGGAGCCACAGTTCGTCTCTCGCATGAACACCCTGTTCGCGTGTCTAAGTGAGTCATTTGGTCACACGCCGGAGGAGCCGAGCCCCTACGTCAAATTTACGCGCTGCAGGGCGCCCCGCGACGCCAACGTTCTCTGCAAACAGGCGGAAGAAGGACAGGGAGAGGCCGACTTGGAGACGTAGCCCACGCGCATCCGTCAATCTGTACAGTTTTTACTTCAACTCTCTTGTTTCGACCTATTTTTGTATTTTTGCACCAAAAAATGCAATACACCCAGAAGTACCGCATTTTTTTCGGAACTAGCTAGATGGTAATACTCATGTCCGCCGTGCCCGAAAATTTCCTACAAATGTGTTCGCATTTTTGAGTTGTTATTCATGGGTAGCGACATCTAGTGCTGGTATTAATGGAGAAACATTCTAAGAAACACTTTATACAATTCCAATTGGTTAAAAGGCCACTCTCCTGTAAACTTATTTTCACGCCGAACGGCTGAGGTTGTATTGTATCCGAGGCTTGAATCATCTCAACAATAATGGCCAAGCTTGCCCACTCGAGCCGTGTTTACTTTTGGCGTTGCGACCGTCCAGGAGGGGGGGACATTGGGACCACGCGCGTGCCAACTCACCGGCCATCCCCTAGTCCGTTTTTGTCAATGGGTAGGGGTAACCAAACGAAGGCGCCCGAAAAGGGGCTAGCGTGAGCAGGCACACACTCATGCAAGGTTGCGCATCGTAGCGTTGACGTTCGTCCCTCAACTTACAAAAGCGTAAGCGCATAGGTGGGAACAACGGCCCAACCCACTGGACCCTTAAGATAGTATCCCTTGAAACGCTCGAACTGCGGTGATTACATTCACAATAGAGCGGCGGTGCTGCGTGCCCTTGCCAACTTACTCCACATGAAAGCTCCGCGCCACCGTGTTTGGGGCAGAGCCAAACTTAAACACACAAGCGCGCTAGCATGCAAAACTGGTAGGTACGATCCTGAGAACAGTAGTAGTAGCGAACCGCGCATCAATTTGGCCATTTGGTTTCAAGACCGCTAGGCTCAAAACGCGCCAAGCTCTAAAATGAACAGTGTAGGATGCTCGTTAGCTCGAGCCCAGGGCGGCACATTCTTGACCTGTGGGGCTTCAGCTTGTGGGTTGGGGTTTCGGTGAGCACAAGTTTCAGGGTTGTCGTCACCTGGCAGCCCGGAATTGTTCAATACAGCAACAGGTGGCGATTACGGTGGCAATTATTAACTAGCAATACGTCTTCAGCTGAAGATCGATTTAAATATTTGTGAAACTGTGCTTATTACATAAACACTCGTATGTTCAGAATGACTGCAGACCCATGCAAGTTACACCGTGGCCAGCGGGTTAACATTCGCATGTATTAAACGACAAGACTGTTGCTTCGGTATCGATGACTACGCAATGGTGCATAATTAGATTTGTCTTCATAAATATACTTTTGGTACAGTTGAAGACAAAGATTTGTGAAATTGGAACCTCTATGCTGTATTTGGAGCTTTACTAGCTAACTCAAAATGCAAAATTGGGAAGACAGGAGGCGGCTGCAGGGATGGCAAAATGGCGCTTCTGGGGGTACCAGCAACATGATTGAATGAAGACTCAAGGTATTTCAAAAAGTTTGGGAATTTATACGCTGCAAAATACGCCACCAATCCAAACGCGTTCGTATGTGTTTAGCCAAAAGTATGCGTAGTTGAGGACATCACGTCGACTAAAAATGTAAAAAAGCATTTGCTATGTAAAAGCAAGTTAGGACTCTTAATGAGAATCAGACATTTTCCACTTTACGACTGGACAAACTACCAAAGTGAGAGTAAAAACCAAATACGAAATTGGGAACTTACCGAGAGGTCAACTGGGCTCGTGATTTTCTGTGCCTGTTAGGTGAGCTTCGACGCTAAATAAAGTGATTTAAAATCCGTTATACAGTCAACTCCAAACACCCTTAAATCAGAAATACTGAATTTCTAACAAGTCGGCCTTCTCAAATAGGGAAAACCGCATGAACAATAATAGAACTTGTCTATCTCTCGTCACGTCAAGACATACAAGTAGCCTGCTTGACTTAATTAAGCAGCATCGCACAACGCCACACTCAAGCATTATGAGGTAGTCGAGTTGGTAAGTAGTGTGCCTGCGCCCCAAGCCTTGAGGTTGTCGCTAGTCGACACAAATACTTGTGGCCTAAGTAACACAGACAAAGGCAGTTTTTATCCTATTTTCGCTGCGGTACAGTCACCGGTCCCGGGCTTAGAAAAGACGGGCCCTGGACCCCATGTAAACGATGACGCACTGCGAAATGATTCACCGAGTGCAAAGATAAAAATTTTGCGACTTTTTGTCTGACTGACGATAGGGTGGAGCATAGGCTGCGACTGCCCAAGGTCGCACCCCTCTCGAGGGGGACTTCACCTCGATGTGACAGACTGTCTGGCGGTGCGATGAGTGTGAGGAAGGAAAAACATGTTTTTTTGTGGAGGAACTGGGGCTTGACTGGGCTCTGGCGAGACTCTTTTCAAAATCGAAGATTGGCATCGGTGCATTATAAATGGGAGTGCAGTATCATTGTTCACGGGAGAACCGACAGAATTCGTGAGTATGCCCACCGCGCACATGCCTTACAAATTCAACATTAAGAAGTTTACACTAAGAGAACACCTACACAATTTGTTGTGCTCTTTTGCATTCTTCCCTATTGGTCATGAACTTGGTTCGACTGAGCCTCCTTCCGTCGAAGGCCGCCTTCGAGTCGTCCATCAGACGGAATTCAGCAGCCATTCGCTTGGACCTCGTGGCCACGATATAAAAGCGCTGCTTGATCCCTCCCACACACAAATTGACACTCTCTGGTGACGAGGGCTTACTGCTGTCTCTGGGTGCAGCGTCGCTCTCCTGGCTGCTTGAGTTCTCAATAGCACTTCCAGTCAAAGCAAGAGGCCGCTTGTTGTAGGAGGGAGAGGATAAACTGGCGGTGTCGACTATGGTGGGTTCGGACAAACCCCGGCGGCGGTGGTGACTGCCACGTTTAGGTGTTGTTGTTGCTGCATTCTGGCAGTAGACACGGATGTCTCGCGCCGGAGTGGAGGAACAGTGTACCTCGACGCGGTCGGTACCAAACACCACAGGTTGTTTACAGGGGTCACTGTTAATAAAACAGAAGACACCGTTATAAGATTAACTTGTGAAAATGCATGTATGAACTAAAACAAAGTTACTGAGGGAAGCCGTATCACTATGTGTTTAAACAAAGGCTCTAAATCGGACCCAAAAAATACTTATAGTACAAATGGCCAAACGCGGCCGATCACACACCAACTTTGTGGATCGTGTCAAACGTGAAAACATCTACAATAATCCGAAATGGGGAGGGTGGAAGTAAGCAACTGAAAGATCCACGCAGAATTTTGGTGCACACACAAACTAGTGAACATAAAAAGGGGCCAGTCCTTGTGATATTTGAGATTGAAGGGATCGCTAATTACAGCGGGCACGAAGCACTACCGCTCCCACGAAACTTGCATTGCAGGGTGCTCAATATGAGGAATTTGCCCAAGCTAAAGGAGACTATGACATCTACACGTCGGATTCTCGTGCCATGAGATGTGTTTGTAAAACCGTCGTCAAGCAAATGAAGACGCGATTTGTGGGTCCGATCCCCCGTTGGCGCCAAGTGTTTGATCAGTAATCACGATGCATGATCAAACACCGAATCTGTGCAGCAGGCAAAACCCATTAGATATCGATGCCAAGGAAATAGTGCCAGTAACTCACTGGACAGTTCATACCCGTTTGCTCGACTATTAACACCCATTCCGACAGTAAACCAGTCTCGAACACACCCATTATACTCCTTTAAAACTACTAGAGTTATGTCATGTTTCTTTCCACACATTAATTACCTGAAATCTGTTTGTCAGTAAGCCTAGATCCCGATTGAAAAAAAAGTGGTTCTACAGGGGAATTCTCACCGACTAAAATCATGATACTTGTACAAATCCGACATTATCCCCCATAGGCGGAGGCACCGACTCCGTATACCAAGAAGTTAACTGAACAATAAACGCCACTTTTCGTCAAAATGATCATGCCTATTAAGAATTGCCCATTGCGCCTTAGCAATTGAATCTTGCGATGAGTTCTATTCAATGGAAGTGGAAGAACGGTAAATTCGGTCTCAGCCAGGGTTGTGGACCCGACCCCGAACAGTTCAAAATTATCTATACCTACCTGAATAAAAGGTCAAATTTTAACATAGTGAGAGTCTTCACGCCTCCAGAATAAGTCGGTGATAGCTAGCCCAGTTTACAACCTGCGGTGTGTCTAGGTTTAACAACAATAAGATCAAACCGATGAGAGCACACTGGAAATAGGAACTGCCTGGAAATTCAAACCAACACTTAATAAGAGAATAGAAAATTTGGTGGAGGATAAGACGGGAAACGCACGTACCTTTGGAGTTCCTCTAACCTAACTAATAACTCAACAGCGCCCCGTGACTGGCCCCCGAGACAACTGGTATAACAACCAATGCGACAGACCAGGTTTTCGGAGACGTGACCCATAGGATAACTCGACTGAGACGATTGCGACGTTCTTGGTTCGTCCACAGACTGATGCTGGCCAAGGCCCATGGCAATGCGCCGTCTGTCCACAGGAACAAGCACCGTTAAGTGTTTCTCAAGGTAGCAGTAACAAGCGCAGGGGGATTGCACGTTGACAAAGCTGCGGGAGGCATATTGTGCATCCGCTGCGGGGTGTTGTCGTTCATGATTAGCGCACCTTAAATAAGGGAAAATTTACAGTGTAAAATTTTACTGCTTTGAGCTCGGACAGATGTATTACAGCATACCGTAGAACCTTGCCTTAAAAATTGCAATTTTGGCATATATTACTCAGTAAATCTGAATTAAACAAAACAACCAAGGAATAGCGTCCTAAGTTGTTTTAATAGAAAATCGTCGCATGGACTCGTTGAGAAAGTTGAGATTTCGTGGACTTCAGATGGTATTGAAGGCGACTAGACTCATTACTGCAGGAATTTGCACGCATTGAAACAGTAACGAGGATTAAGCGATGGGTTCAACACACATTTAATTTATTCCATTGATTTTTTTAAATTACTACTAACAAAATGGTACTTTCTAGGTTATCGAGTCCACGACAGTTAGCCAGTTATAAATTCAAGGTTACAGCTGATGGTACGGTAATGCCTTTAACGTCCTCTGAAAACTCACCTTAAAACGACTTCTCCTTCTCTAGTATGAGACTTGAAGAGGGGTATAATTCGTAGGTAAAGGTTAAGGGGAGTAAGTGGAAGTCTAAACACTGCTTTCATGATGAAGGGCCTATCTCTAGAGACAAAAATGATGCGGCGCCCAGATTCCTCTGTAAATAACTAAATTCCAACACATGACAACACAAATCAGCTTACCCTATAGTCAGGCCTAGAACCTTTGTTTTCGAAATCCACGTGAAAGTCATACTGACCTCTAGCAGGAAATCTACGATAAGCGTAAGGATTCATCAATTCAGATTCAAAATTACCTTGCTTGTAAATCTGTGAGAACCCGAGAATGTGTCGAAGAGGTCATGAGCTTTTAATATAAATGCGGTCATAAAGTTTGCATACCTGCTGAGCTACTTCATAGATATCGAACGAAGCATCGTGATCAACTTGCTCCACCATGAGGTCTAAGGCTACCAAAATACGCAGAATAAGAAGTAAAATATTACACTTATAAAGTACAAAGTAGATTCATGCCACATACAGCAATACCAATATTTTGGATGAAAAAAATGACAGCACAATGCAAAATCGCAAGAAGCTATATCTAACAGAAATGTTGTTTAGTAGGAATTAGCAAGCAAGGGTAAAATATGCAAAGAAAACAATTTCTGTTTAAAAACATTGGGTATTTAAAATCAATTAATGTAGTCCAAAGTCGACCAAAATGACGTAATGTCATAATGCATGAAGTAAGCTATTTTAACGGTCACCATATCGATTTATTAACTACGTCACATAATCACGAGAAAACCTGTAGCTTCACAAATGGGACAATATAAGACTATGAACAAAAAAATTAACCTACACAAGTGTAGGAATTGAGCACAAGCAAAACGAATGCTTGTATTCCTAAATCATCCATCCACTCAAAGTTCAAATTTGTACTTAACCAAAAATAAGTATGATGAAACTACGAAACAGAGGGCTGTCATAGCCGGACACAATAAAACATGCAAACGATTGACGCATGACACCTGATTCAGATAATGTAGCATTGAAGTAAGAATCTTTGCCTATTAGACGATTCAGATATTAGTTAGAATGACCAAGATAGGAAGCCAAACGTTGTCCACTAGATAATAGACAACGCAAAATAACTAAGAAGCATTTGACATACTTTGATTCGACGAAGATAACGTAACCACTAAAAATTTGCAAAAACGTGCTGCGATTTCTAAGTCGAGGCGGAAAATATATGCATGACCCATGGATGCGATGGTGTATAGGGAACAAACTGACCAAGTTTTCTCGAAATAACAGAAATACACACGTTTACACTAGATAATAAGAAACTCCGTACTTGTTCATATAACTCAAGGTCGTAACAGCAATCTTGAAATTAAATCGAGGTTTAAAAAGCACAATTGAATTCATTCAAGAGATTAAATAGCACAATTCCTCAATACATAAAGTAAATTAAAAATATTTAGCAACAACGACAAGTTGAAGCCCCGATTACACTCAATGACCACTATGACAAAGCTTGATAAAAGGTCAAGGTAGTGGGACAAAAAACCATTTGCAGGCAATGGGAGACCTCACGGCACACAAGGAATGCAAGCCGACCTTGAGGCCAAAATTCCTCCCTGTCTGAATCGACGAACTAACGACGCGTATAAACGAAAATTGGATAAAAATTAAAAACCTAAATTGCGCAAAAATATCAAGATCAAAGACATTTTAGTTTCGTAATTCATACTACAGATTAGTCAAAATGAACTGACTCAAATACGATAGAAAAGGTTGGATTTTCTTTTAACAGGAAACAGAAGTAAATGACAAACAATAACACTTTTCTATTGATTGAAAAACAGGCAATATATGTAAATGCCTTAAATATCATATATTTAAACGTCTTCCCAAACCACATGCATTATATTCTCATCTACCAGAATTTCACCCTAATTTTAAATACAATTAAGCAACTGTTGCATTTTTACAGGAGACGCATAAGAACCACCTATTAATGACCACCTAAGCTTATATTCTAGTTTTTTTATTATGCGTAAAAAAACATTTAGAGCGCACTTCAAAGGAGAAAATAACCAAAGTGATGTAAGATCACATTATCAGATGCATGTAGAAGCCATATTTTAGAGCGTAATGAATAGCTGTCTGTGACAATGTGAAGCTCTCTACACTACATTTTTACAAACAAACATGCATAAATACCACCATGGGTGAAAACTTACCATTGGTCCCAATGTTCGTGCACCTATGATTCACGCCGTCTAAAACATCTGAACAAATTATATACGCGCAGAAACGCTTTCCAAGACACAATGACACTAATTGGGTTAATCTCTATAGTAAAATGATGTGGTCATTTTAATTCCGCTCTCTTTCATCACAGCGGCTAGCGGGGTAGGGCGATTGGACTAGGTTCAAGTCAGTGGCCTCAGTGTGGTTCGTAAATACCAGCTTGGGCCCACAGCACATACATTTATAATTTAGTATTAACTATTTACTCTAATTATTTGTAATACTTATTCCTATGCATAAAAGCAACATGCATTCACTTTACCAAATAGATTTTGCTGTTTGCCGATTCCACCGCGAACATTAACTTTTGCTTATGCAGGTGTTATTTTCAACGACGGAAAACAAGTCGTAGAACAGAAAAATTCTGCAAGAATATTCCATAAATACTTATGTTGATTGCAAACCACTATAATATCACTAGGGATTTACCCTTTTGTAGGAAAATTGTAAATAGCTAAGCGTCGATCATTTTTAAGACAATTGAAAAATCGCGATTGGCGTTGCTTTAGTCCAACTTTAGAAGTCATTACTTCCGTCAAGATCAGTTTATAAGCATATTTTTGACGTGGGCACGTTGGACCATAAAAAAAGCGAAACTAAAAAACGGTGAGAAGTTAAAATTTAAACTTTTGAGATAAAGCCCATTACCCATATCGGCTTGAATTTTTATGACCTTATTAAACATTGACTGTTTAAATAAATTAAGTTAAAAAACCATTTAACCAAATAAACTGATATAATAGCGTGTGAAACGTTATACCTCTGAATATGGGTCAAGATTTAATGAGAAATCGTAGGAAAAAATGTATAATTGCAAGCGGTTTTTTTCGTTATAAAAATGTCTTCGACATTATTCAAAGTAGCCAGACATTCACTTCATTTATGAATTTTTGAAGCCAATATAATTTAAAGACATAAAAAGAAAGCAAAGTTTCAGATAGTAGGCCTAAACTTAAAAACAAAGACACGATTCAGCATATGTGTATTTTTTTATAAATTGGTGGGTTTTTTCTAGTTTGCACGTATTCAACTACTTAAAATGAGTTGCCCTCCGTCGTTGTTGATCTTTGTCAAAATAAGGTCAATAAGGTCTGGCGCAGTTTAAGGTGTTGAGCCAATTGTTAGGTCATGCTCTCATCTCGTCCTGATGGTGACGAGGTATTTGCAGTTTCTGGCGGTGATATATTGTGTATACGCAAAAAGTAAAAGCCGTATGTCTTGTTCTATGTATTTAGTGTTGCCGTTTCGTTAGCAAAATCGAGCGGTTCCGAGGATGGGTAATTACAATAGCCTAGTCTGATTCGACTTTCATTTTTAGCGCCAAACATAGCGAAGGTGAATGTGATGGTCCTTTATGTTGTTGCTTGTCAAAATCTGGTGATTTATTTTCGATCTGCGATACCAGAAAGATCCTAAGGATTTATAAATCGGTGAAGGGTGTATGGAATTTATCAAAGCAAATGTGAGTTAAATGTTTTTGATTTCTTACGTTTTCTTAGAAACCTTCCTAGAAAGGTCAGCTGTATTGCTTTTACATTGGATGATCAATGCATCCTTTTGGGTGAGAAGTCGGGTTATGTTAGTCGTTTCTCGATCGGTGCAAATACTTGCTTGCCAAAATGTAACGAACAAGATGAAGTACTCGGACATTTATCTCTTCTTTCAAGCATAGTGAGTCTTTAGAAAACCTTTGTGTGCTTTGGTTTGTATGGTCATGCAAACTTGCCTTGCAGACCGTTTACGTATACACCATTATTTGTCTTTCGCTTAGGCTCTCAGTGAAGATGGGCGTCTCATCGGCTCCTGTGACCGTGATGAAAAG